GGGGGGGGGGGGGGGGGGGGGGGGAGGGAGGGAGGGGGGAAGGAAGAAAGAGGCTTTTGATAATATTTAACTATTTAAATGGAACTGAGTGTTTACATATGGGATATAAAGAACTGGGACTAGTGAACTTCTTGAAGGGAAATTTAAGATCAAATAAATAGTTCTTGGATTGCCGGACAAAAATTGAATCCTTTAAAACAAAGTAAGATACTTTATAAGGAAGAAATGAGTGGAATTTCAAAGGAGATGGAGTTACTTTTTCAAAAGACATCATGGAGAAAGTTTTTAAGGAGATTATGGGAAAAATGGAAAATACCATATGAAACATGATGAGTAAAGACCAAAATGCCTAGGAAAGGGGGGAATCAAGAGAAGGAATGAAGGAAGAAGTTGACAAAGAGGAGACAACAATGAAAATAACATTGATTGATGAATTAAACCAGGGAGAAAATATATCAAGAGAGTTGGAAGATATGTTTGAAAGGGAGACGGGTTTGGGTAGAAACTTTAGAAACTGGGCAGTGGAAGAGTAGAGATGGGAGAAATGCCTAGATTGAACATCCAAGAAGCTGATGCAGACAGAGATAAAGATTTAAGAGAGGAATTTGGGAAGCAAGTAAGAAAAAAACATAGCAATTAAAGTATTGAAGTGGGTAAGAGATGATAGATACATTTGTTGTTCTTGTTTGGATTTGTCTAAAAGAAAAAGTATTTTAATAAAGGATGACATAATTAAAAACTAGAGTAAGTGATAGAAATAAGAGAAGGGAGAATATTATTGTATACACTTTTATATAATAAAAGTAATAACAAAAGAAAGTCTGGAATAATTGAACAATGATAGATTTCAACCAATATAAATATGTATTATTATTAGAAACACATAGGTGGAATGAATGTAATAATTATGATTAACTTTACAAGTTTTATTTGTATTAGAATGTATGACACCCAGGTGCCACACTGTTTATGCATTGATTTGACACATTTATAAAAAATTAAAAACTTGGGGGAGGGGGGAGAGAAAGAAGCAAAGTGGTTCAATCTTGACACTACATTTACATGGAGGGAAGTATGCAATAGGGTACCCCAAGGCTCTGTTTTAGGGCCAGGACTCTTCAACATCTTAATAAATGATCTAGATGAGGGTATAGAAGGAGAATTCATCAAATTTGCAGATGACACCAAGTTGAGGGAAATTGCTAATACTTTATATGATAGACTCAAAGATACAGAAGGATCTTGACAGACTTGAGCATTGAGCGCTATCCAACAAGACACATTTCAGTGGTGAGAAAAATAAGGTGCTGCATCTAGTCAGCAAAATCAAATGCACAGCAGAGGTGGGTTCCTACCGGTTTGGCCTGGTTTGGCTGAGTAGGTAGTAACTTGACCTGCCATGCCCTCGAACTGGTTCTATCGACAATGCCGTAGGCACTTCCATTTTTTTTTTTTTTTGCTTCTGCGCATGTGCATCATTTTTTAAAGTACTGTGCATGCACACATAGTGCACATTAAGCGTTCGTGCAAGCATTTCTGAGCAAACTGGCCGTAGCAGCAGCCGGAACCCACCCCTGATGCACAGGTAATGAATAGGTGGCACCTGGCTCAACAGCTGTAATTGCAAAAGGGATCTAGGTGTCTTGGTGAACCTAGAATATGGAGAATTTTCCTGATAGAACAATTAATCGATGGAACAGCTTTTTTCCAGAAGCTGTGAATGCTCCATCATTGAGAGTTTCCAAGAACAGACTGGATAGCCATTGTCTGGAATGGCATAGGGCTTCCTACTTGAATAGGCGGTTGGATGAGAAGACCTCCAAGGTTTCTTTCAACTGTTATTCCAAATTCTAATCTTTAAGGACCCGTTTGTATCAGTTGTTTAGGCAGATAACACGTCAGTGGCACAGAAGAGCAGGGAAGGATTGTTATTCTGAGGAACGTCTTTCCAGAGGTAGAAACTCACTGGCAGGGATCCCAATCAATGCCTCTGGATATCTGTGGCAAAGCAAGAGATCCTTCCCTCAAGGGAAACTCCAGAAAGCCCCCAAAAGGCCATTTCTGCCCCATCCACCCACCACGGGTGTCTGAGGAGAGAAACAGAACAGAGGCAGGCTCTGGAATCTGACTCCTTGGCTTGACTTTCTCTGGGAGGCTGAATTCACACAACACCCAAGGCCAAGGCAAGTTTGTTTATCTGCATCTTTCTGTATTGCAACTCAAGCATCATGGTTCATAAATCAGACTTCATTTATTAGATTTTTATCCCATTATCCTTTATAATTCAAGGCAACAAACATACCTGATGTTCCTTCCTTCTCCTATTTTCCCCACAATTAGGGAGGTGGATTGGGCTGAGACAGCACTAGAAGTCTCCCAGTTTCTAGCTTGGTGCCATCACCACTAAACCAGATTATGCTTTAATATTTATGCATCAGCACAATTTAGGATATCTCCTAATTTTGGTTTACTCAACTACCCGTGGTTATAGCTCTCAGTGTGATATGAGCGCAGCTACAAAACAATCTAAAGTGAATGTAGATGTTTTATTTACAATAAGGAGACATACGTATTAAAAAGGAGACTGCTTGCCCCACATATCCATGTTTTTCCCTCAAGTTAGCAGGCGTTTCAGAGTAAAATCAAATCACCTTTTCCAGTTTGAAAAAAGTATTTGGGCTCTGAAGAATGAAAGCATCCAGCAGACAATTTGTCTTAATCTTTAACAAATGGAAAATTAAATAAAGTTTATTTTTTTTTAAAAAGAGCCAAATACATAAGACAAAACAATTCAACCAGAAGATGGCAGCAAGTAGAGAGGACTTTACTTCATGGATTTTATGCATGATGAATTGGCAGCAGCTGTTTCAGCCAGCAGGGCCGCTGGTGTATAGGCTGCTGCAGGAAAGAGCTGGGCTTGTGCTTATTCAGTCTCTTGAGAAGGAAGGAAGGAGAAGAGTTCCTGGAAGATTCATCCTGGAGGACTGCTAGTAGTCCTGTGGGCACAAAGGGCAGAGTGAACATCACCGGGGATGCCAGTACAAACCTGAGAGGCATCGCTTCCCACTTAAGGGAGTGAGAAGGACTGCCTGCAGGATTAGAGCAGAGCCAACCCTAGAAAACCCTGCTCCAAACTCCGATCACATCCCCTCCAACAACACAGTCTTTCAACCACCCAAAGCAGAGGCTGCAAGGACATTCTTCTCCCCTTTAAGCAACCTTCACCCCAACCCTAACCCAGAACTGTGCAGTAACTGAAAGATGGCAGGACGTTGGGAAGAAAAAGAGGAGGGATACTTACAGCTCGTGGTTTTTTGTTCAACTTGAGATCAATCCTGCAATGGGAAGAAGAAATAAGCGAATGTTATGCTTATGGATGGCTAAAAAGGCAGTCCCTGTCTGGGCCACATCAGCAAAGGGACAAGCCTGATATGAGCATTTCCAACCCACCTCCCAATGGCACCGAAAAGCAGATTCCACCCAACAATCAGAAGAAACACATTAGAGAGTTAGGCAGCATCCAAAGACCATGGGAACACGTCATCTGCTGGGTTAGCATGTTAAAGATAGAACTTAGAGGAGGAGGAGGAGGCAGCAGAGGAAAAGGAAATGGTAGCCAGAGGACCTAGTGGCACCAATAAGAATCAAATTGTATTTTCTGCATTTGGGAAACTGCCTTATCTGTAGGCCTCAGAAAGCCAAGCAACAAAAATCAATTTTCAGAATTCAGTAGAAGTTTATCTGCTTTTCAAAATGACATAAAGAAGCAAAGAGGGTAGCCGAATGAGTTTTTTTAGCCAAGGTTATTAAATAAAAAGTTACCTCCGTTGTGCTTTTGTCTGTATTTTTAAAAACTTGCCAGCCTAACCTAATATACATACCTACAATTAAACAGATAAACTATGGATTAGAATAGTCTTGAAAGCGCACATGGGGAAGTTGAAGGAGGATGGTGAAGGGGAAAAGAAAAGTCTACACACTGACATCACAGTACAAAAACTAAGTCAAATCAAGTCAAACTTACTCAAAGTCATAATCAAACATGCCAGACGGGCTGAGGGGCAGCATTCGAAAAGAAGAAAGCAATAGAAATTAATACACTAAGGAATTAAATCAATTAGTTGATTAGCCACCCTAGCAAAGTTCAAAAATAAAAAAGAGCAAGTGGCACATCATTGTAATCTTGAAATATGAAATCCACCCAAGACTGCCCCCCCACCCCCCCAGACATCTGCTACCCCAAATAACCCTATGAGACAAATATCAGCAACCTGGGAAGAAAAGCAAGGTGGGAACCTCCCACAATGCTTGAAAGGAGCATAGCAAACAGCCAGGTCGGTAAAGGATGGGCAAGATTCTGTCACGACTGCCTGGGCAGAATGGAAGAGACTTTCCCCTGCTGCCTGGCTGGGCCTTCTTAGCCCAATGCTTGAGAAGGCAGAACACCAGCCTGGATTAGGGAGAATGCTGGGCCAGGGGGATCAGCCAAGAGAGAGCCTGCTTTCACTTTCAGGGGTAGCTCTGGCACTGAGAAGACTCTGCTCCCCAAGTCCAGCCCAACCTATGTCTCTGCAGCTTTCTCCCGGCCTGTGAACGGAAAGATCTGGCATCTTTCAGAACAGAATATCCAGGCTCGACCTTTTTGTCTCTTGGTACTTCCTGCCTTGAAAGAAGGCCAATCACCATTTACTTGAAGATTTCCAATTCTCCATAAGGAATGACTCGCTACACAAAAAAGGGTTATCATCAGACACTTGCAACCGAAACAAAATATATATAACAACAACAACAGTCCCATTTCCATCCCCTTCTCTACTATCATTTATTTTCAAGGCTAGGTGACTGCTGGAACAGAGCCACTTCCTTGCGTTGCGGACTGCATACAGAGATAGTTCATGGCTTTAGCAGTAAAATGTCATTTCTAGGTCAACCTGCCAACCTAATAGGCTGTGTCTTTAAGAGAAGAGGGGGTGTCTCTCTCTGGGACAGAATCCCTGGAAAGCAGCTGCTGATTTATGACTCTCCTTGGGGTAGAAGACCAGGACCAGCCTCTGAGGCTTTTCCATCTGAACCCCAAGAGGGTCCTTCGGCTGGGGATCAGCTGCCAGATTTAAAGCCCCTCTTGACCACTCAGCTGAGGGGGAGGGATGAACTCTGATCCTCATGCACTTTGTCTGGGCGGGGAAGCAAGACAGGAATGTTGAACTAGGACTGTCCAAGAGAAGGTCAGGAAGACGCTTCCTTCTCCAGGGGCTCAGGTGGGGGCAGCCGAAGACCTGGAGAAAGAAGCTGCTTCGGGGTCTCCAGTCTACCCAGCTCACCTGTGTCGGTTTTTATTCTTCCGCTTTTTGTGGCTACTGTGGTGGCTCCCGGAGGCAGAAGAGGCCGCTTTCTGGGGTTTCACCCCCTGAACGGACCCATCCAGGTCTTCCACCTCTTCCTGGCTCGGCTCATTCTCTTGGTTGTGGAAATCCGGGGAAGTGTCGCTCTCGGTACCGCTGCCGGGCTCGCCTGGAGGGAGGCAAGACCACCGAACTGGGCTACCCAAGACCAGGCAAAGGGGCCAAGGGAAGGCTGGAGGGAGGCAGGCAGTCAGGACCCCCGAGCTGGGCTACCCAGGACTGAGCAAAGGGGCCAAGGGGACCTGGGAGAGAGGGAGGGAGGGGCAGAGCACCCCCAGACTTACGCTTCTCAATCAGCTGGTCCTGAACTCCAGCCAAGGCACTGACCGCCTGTGGGGGGCAGAAGAGAGGCAGGAGATCAGCGGGTCCTCGCCTCGTCCACTCCCCCCCCCCAGCGAGCCCCTCCCCCCACTCACAGCGGCCGAGGTGACGGAGGACTTGCTGAAGAGCCGCTCCGCTTCCTTGAACTTCCGGTTCCGACGGTCGTTCTTGCTGTTGGAGTTTCTGCGGGGGGAGGGAGGGGGAGACGGGCGGGCAGTAGCGGGGTCTGGGGGGCGCCCCCTCC